AATATATATTATAAATATATTTATAGACAAGTTAAGAAACAAATCAAACACGAAAGTGTTGTTCTCCCTTAAGTTTCTGTCCGAGCAATTGTATTTATAAGGTGTGTGTACGTTATCATTCGTTAAGAAAAATTATAAACCAATATTATCTTATAATCACCACATACTATTCAAAAATATAATAAATGAATAATATATGAACATATGGGGAATAATTTGTAGAATGCCATTTTTTTACGAGTTAATTGAATCACGTGTCCATAAATTTTGATTCGCATTCTAAATTAGTCTCTAAACTTTTAAACATTCCAATTTAATCTTTAAACTATGACGATCATTCTAAATTAATCCTCAAAATTTTAAACATTTCAAATTCATCCCCAAACTATGACTTACATTCTAAATAGTCCCTAACTAATCACATCCCTTGTTAATAAAATTGTGAGGCCAAGCTATATTATTATATGTTAAAAAAAATTAGGTTAAACTATGGTTGAAACTAATTATATATTTGGATGAAATTGGAAGATTCAAAAGTTTGAGGACCAATTTAAAATAAGGGTCATAGTTGAGGATGAAATTGGGCTGTTCAAAAGTTTAAGGATTAATTTAGAATGAGAGTCATAATTTGATGATGAAATCAAAATATTTAAAAGTTTAATGATCAATTTAAAACGAAGATAATAGTTAGGAGACATGATGAAATTTTATTTTTTACTAATGTAACAATAATGTCATGAAACACATGACTACTATTTTTTTTTGGTAACAGAAGAAACAAAACTAACTAAGCTGAAGCATTGGCATCAGCATGCAGAAACGGCAGCACCTCGCTTGGAGGGGAACAAACTTTAAGCAGTTCGAAACATCAGAACGAAACAATTTCGTCATACAATCCGCAACCTGATTACCTTGTCCAGACACATGATGAAGCGTTACAGCCCAATTACACTGCAGCAAATCAATAATATAAGCAATAATCGTCAAACGAATAAACCCATCTCCGGCGGCAGGAATCTCTTTCAACGCCTCTAAACTATCAACTTCCACCTGAAGCTTCCTAACAGCCATCTCCCAAGCAGAAATCAGCCCCAAATACACCCCCCACAATTCAGCCTCCAAGACCGAACATATACCAATATTTTTTGAAAACCCCAACTGCCAGACACCCGCATCATTTCTGAGGACAACACCACACGACGCCTGGCCCGAGTCAGGCCGACGAGCTCCATCAGTGTTAAACTTCCACCATCATTCCCAATGCCAGTCGGAACCCGCGTCCGATTATGGAGAGAACGCATACTCCATGCACGAGCAAAAGCCGCAACCATAGGTTCCAAAACTGAGCGAGAATCTTTCAAGGGGTAACCAAAAGCCACCGAGTTACGATAAAGCCATAAATTCCATATTATTGACCCAAAAAACATGTCCCAATCAGCTACCAGACCAACAAAATCCGAAGCATTCTCAAGATTCATAGCTATCCAGGCCGTTAACTCCATCGTGATAAATTCATGCAACCGATCTCGTCGAACCAGTGAACTCCAAACAGCAAGAGCAGAAGGACACAGTCGGAGGAGGTGATACAAATCCTCAATCATACCGAGACACAACGGACACCGGCTGTTCGCTGTGAAATGTCGTCTCATCCGTTCAGCATTGGTCATAACCCGATCCCGACAAGCCAACCATAAAAACATTTTAATTTTTTGATGACCCCGGAAATGATGAAGCATGGACCAAATATTCTCTCCTGTAGAACTAGACTGGCCAACTAAGCCGATTTCACAGTAAAACGACAATCATCCTTAAGTTTCCAACCTACGGTATCATTAGCAAACTTACTTTTGGGATTAGTTGACAATCAATAAAAAACTTCATTCGGTCATCTCCTCCATGGCAACATTCTCACCTGGTATCAGAGCCAAACGTCCTGACGTCATTTTTTTTTCTTCCGCTGTTTCCATTCTTCATTCTGTCATCGTTTACTGAACGAGATCAGAGTCTCGCTCACAGCTATGCCTTCCGCTATCATCGTTGCGGTGTTCAGATATTTTGTCATCGCTGTTATGTTAAGTCATCTACGCCTAGTACTTCCTCTGATGTATTGTTATGAGGTTCTTCTACATTCTTGCTTGGTCTGGTTTCCGTTCGTTATAGCTAGCAATATTGGAGTCGTGGAGATGTTTTTTCGGTATATTATTTTGGCTATCGTTGGCGGTGCGCCGACTAGAGTTATGATCTGGGATGACCACCAGAATCAATGCATCGGAAAGCTTTCGTTACGTTCTGAAGTGAGATCAGTTCGACTCCGGAGATATCGAATCGTAATCATTTTGGAACAAAAGATATTTAGTCTATAATTTTGCTGATTTGAAGGTTTTGCACCAGATTGAGATTATCGCGAAACCAAAGGGACTCTGCGCTGCCTCTCAGGGGTCCAGGTCCTTGGTTTTGGTTTGTCCTGGATTACAGAAGGGACAAGTTAAAGTTGAGCATTTGCTGCTCGTAAGTTGTTTGACAAAATGTCTGAATGAGTTTTTATGTGTGCCAATGGATTTGTTTCAGGAGTTAATTTCTGCAAATATGTTTGAACCGAATTCTACGACTCTTGTTAGTGTTCTTTCTGCCTGTGCACACTTAAAGGATCTCCAGGTTGGAAAAGTGATCCACGGGTATATTCTTTAGCATTCTTGCTTATATGCAATTACACCGATGTCAAATGCCCTTGTTAGTTTTTATGCATAATGCAATGACATAAGAGCCGCATATCAGACATTTCTGATGATTCCTTGGAGAGACTTGGTTTCAAGGAATTCTATTCTTGATGCATTTGCAGAGTGTGGATATGATGCTCAGTTTCAGGGACATTTAAATTGCATGTTGGGGGAAGGATTTAGGCCAGACTTCATCACTGTCTCAGCTATCATACAATTTGTGTCCGCGTTTCTAGTCGAACGGAAGGAAGCATCGGCACTTCCGATTCAAATCGAACGGAAAGAAGCATCGGCACTTCCGATTTAAATCGAACGGAAGGAAGCATCGGCACTTCCGATTCAAATCGAACGGAAAGAAGCATCGCACTTCCGATTCAACTAGAACGAATGGTTTACTAAATCATTGTCCAAATCTTCATTTGCGCAATTTCAACCCAAAGTATAGGTTTTCTCATTTGCTCAAGGAGAAGGAAAAGAGTAGGGAGAATATTAGAGTATCTAGAATACACGATTGTATTCTAGAATATGCAATGTGTGCATATGCTCCTAATATGAGCATTGTGTGTGTGAGTGAGCTGTTAAAGTTGTTATGAATGTTGGAGTCTGTTTTGAATCTGTTATAGAAGTAGAGTAAACTTGAAGGCACATCTATTATATAAGCTGGTGTAATGCAGAGTATTAGTTGACAATCAATAAAAAACTTCATTCGGTCATCTCCTCCATGGCAGCATTCTCACAGAGCGACCATTCCCTACGCACCAACTAACATTCTGCCGCACATCTAACCAAACAACAGCCATACCTCTCCAAAGCTTAAAACAATTAGAAGTTCTAAGAGACACATGAATTCCTTCTAAACATTTATATTTAGAACGAAGAAAACACGTACCCATAAATGATCCGTTTTAGTCAAGATATGAAAGGCAATCTTCATTAAAGGAGCATCATTTTGTTTCTCCAATTTTCGAAAACCCAAACCACCATGTTTAATTGGTTAACAAACATCGCTCCATTTGACAAGATAGACACCACCACCACTCTCAGAACCACCCCCAATAAACCGTTTATTAAGTCGCTCAATTTCATTACATACTCGCCTCAGAATAACCGTCGACTGCATAGTATAAATGGGAAGCGCAGCTAATACAGATTTCGCCAGCGTCACCCTTCCAACGAAAGAAAGAGTCCGCATTTTCCAACCACTCGATCTATCCCTAACCATCTGAACCAAATAGTGATATGAAGCCGTAGTCACACGCCCATGCAAAAGAGGGACACCAAGATACTTTCCCAAATAATCATCACCGAATAACCGAACTCAGAACTAATCTGATCACATAATCCGTAAGGCACATTCCTAGAAAAGAAAATTGTAGTCTTCGCCACATTCACTAGCTGTCCTGATGCTAAACAAAACCTATAAAGTACAAAGCGAATATCTTCCCCTTGCTCAGAAGAGGCTTCAGCAAAGAGGATATTGTCATCCGCAAACAACAAGTGGGAGATTCCAGGGCTAGAACGAGACGTACAGAAAGGGCGCCAACTGCCATCAACAGTTTGTTTTTGGATGGCCTGAGCAAGCCTTTCCAAACAAAGCACAAACAGATATGTGGACAACAGATCACCCTGCCTAATGCCCCGAGACGGAGTGAAAGTCTCAGTCATACTGACATTCCATAAAATATGAGTACACACCGACAAGACACACCTCATAATAATACTGATTAAAGCAGTTGAAAGACCCAAATCGATCAAAGTATCTTCAATGAAATCCCACTATAGGCGATCATACGCCTTCTCTAAATCAATTTTGATTGCCATTCACCCTTGTCGACCTTTTTTATTATTCATGGAATGAATGACATCCTGTACAATTATAATATTGTCAACAATAGAACGGCCCCGGAACAAAACTAGTTTGATTTTCAGACACCCATAAAGGAAGACGAGGCTTCAAACGGTTTCACCTTCGTAATTGCCTTGTTTTTGAAATATATTATTTTAAATATAATATAAATATATCAAATATAAAATGGTTTTTAAATAAATCTTTTTGAAAAAAATTACTTGCTTTGTTTTTGTTGTTGTTATTTTCCCTCTTTCAAACAAGATCCAGCAAAAAGAAGCCGTTCATACATTTTTGTACCTTTTCCTTTTGTTGTTCTTTAATTTAGAGTTGTTTCCCTCCTCCTCTTATTCTTTCAAGTCTCCTTCCTCTTCTTTTTCAATTACTCCCCGTTTTTACAAATTCCAAAGTTTAAAGCTTTATTGTCTTAAAAACCAACTAGACAAGGACGTGTGTTTGGTATCCTTGTCTTTCTTACAGATCACAAGTTAGAGAATCCAAGCCAAAAACCATTGAAAAGGTCAAGAGAAACTGATCAATGGTGGCTGGTAAGGTAAGATTAGCAATGGGTTTGCAGAAATCATCTTCGAACCCAAAGCATGAAACTTCATCCAAACCGCCATTTCCATCTCCAAGTTCAGGTAACAAAACCACCAACACTTCCCAAAAAGCCGGTTTCTCACGTTCGTTTGGTGTTTATTTCCCTCGATCCTCCGCCCAAGTCCAGCCTCGTCCACCCGATGTCACCGAGCTCCTCCGCTTGGTGGAAGAGTTGAGGGAACGAGAGTCCGGGCTCAAAACCGAGCTTCTCGAGCACAAGCTTTTGAAAGAATCGGTGGCCATTGTTCCCGTCCTGGAAAATGAGATCGTCGTTAAAAATGCGGAGTTGGAACGAGCTTTGGAAGAGGTCGAGAGGTTGAGGAAAGGAAACGAGGTGTTGAAAACGGAGGTGGAGGAGATGAAGGGAAAGATTGAAGAAGAAAAGGTGGAGAGGGAGAAGAAAGTGATGGAAATGGAGGAAGAGATAGCGGAGCTGAAGAAAACGGTGTCGTCTTGCTCTGATCGTAATAGTAAGGCGGAGATTACGGCGGAGAGCGACGAATTGATTTCGACTTCGCAGCAGTTTCAAGGGTTAGTGGAAGTTGGTGCCAAGTCTAATCTGATTAAGAATTTGAAGAGATATAATCATAACGGTAAATGTACGAACGCCATTGTTTTTAGTGTTTTGAATAATGAGAAAGCTCAGAGCATGGAGTTCAACACAGAGGAATTTGAATCAGAGAGACGCGGTCACTCGGCGTCTAACTCGGAAGAACTCGTTGAGTCGACTAGTGTTAACATCAGATCTCGTGTTCCTAGAGTTCCCAAACCACCCCCCAGACCTTCGTCGTCGTCTTCAACCTCATCATCCAATGATTCCACAGAGAAGCAAACTTCTCCACCACCACCACCACCTCCTCCGGCACAAGTGGCAGCAGTCAAGCTAGTTGCACCTCCTCCACCGCCTCCTCTGCCTATAAAGGCAATTGCGCCGCCGCCTCCACCGCCGCCTCGGAAGGGGACGAGGACAATTGCGACAAACGTGAGGAGAGTACCGGAGGTTGTGGAGTTCTATCACTCGCTTATGCGTAGGGACTCCAAAAGAGAGGCCGGTGGCTGTACCGTGCCGGATGCTTTACCGGCAACCGCCATTTCAAGGGATATGATCGGGGAGATCGAGAACCGGTCGGCTTACTTGCTGGCGGTGAGTTTCAAGTTTTACTGTTTTTATTTATTTACGATAATGCCAATGTGACAGCTTGGTTCCTTGTGTCAGTGACAACTGACTAGTCGATGAGGACTTCATTGCTTATTTCTTGTAGATAAGGCAGCATTTACATCCCAATGTGGGACAATTAAAGTAGTTTGAATTTCAAATAATAACGTACATATTTGCAAGATTTGCCCTTAGCTTCATGTAGATATTTAAAATCATATTTTTAATGATAATTATAATTTTGAGCTAACAGATAAGGACAGATGTGGAAACACAAGGAGATTTCATAAGGTTTTTGATAAAAGAAGTTGAGAATGCTGCATTTACAGATATTGAAGATGTTGTTCCTTTTGTTAAATGGCTGGACGATGAGCTCTCCTACTTGGTACATTTATGCTATGTTATCCATATTTGATGAGTATACTTGTTCCGGACACGTACCTCTATCCGATACTTGAATCGGCATTTTCATTGTTTGATTGTAGGTGGATGAAAGGGCAGTGCTAAAACATTTTGATTGGCCAGAGAAGAAGTCAGATGCGTTGCGTGAGGCGGCGTTCGGGTACTGTGATATCAAGAAACTAGAATCCGATGCATCGTTGTTCCGTGATGATCCCCGGCAACCCTGCGCCCCAGCTCTCAAGAAGATGCAGGCTTTACTTGAAAAGTATATCAACTCTTTGTGTGCTGCATTTTCATCAATTTATTGGTATCCTGTTGTTAATTTTGTTAATGGCTGCAGGCTAGAGCATGGCGTTTACAACCTATCCCGAATGAGAGAATCAGCTGCAAACAGATTCAAAGGATTCCATATCCCTACGGATTGGATGCTTGAAACCGGAATTGTATGTCAGGTAAACAGGCTTGATCGTGTCGTAGAAAAATCAGTCTTAAAGTAGTCTTAATTGATATAATCTTCAAATGAACGCTAACCCTGAGATTAGCACGATGCTTATCCAACGATAGAATTTAGGCATCCCGTTTAATTAATCTTTAAGCTTTTGGATATTGGGAAAGCAAAATGTATTATTTGGACCCACTTTACCATGTATATCATTATATTTTGAGTAGTATTTTGGTAGGTGACAAAAGGACGGATAGGTTTTTACTCTTCATTTTCAATGCGGAAACGTGCATGCCTACACGTGAACACAATACCCATTTGCTTGTTTGCTTCTCTGTGGAATTCATAATAGAATTGGATTCTCAATCTTGTGACTCATTATGTATTTTATAATAAATATGGACCGGTGAAGGTGATGAATTTACATTTGATAACTCATAAATGTGCCAATAAATTGATGCAGATGAAGCTAGCGTCGGTGAAATTAGCGATGAAGTACATGAGACGAGTGTCTGCAGAGCTTGAAGCAGTTGGGGGTGTACCCGAAGAAAAGGATCTGATCGTTCAAGGTGTTAGGTTTGCATTCCGTGTGCATCAGGTTCGTAATAATTCTCATTCATTTCTACAACTTCAAACAAAACACTCTTCATTTCTTGCGATTTAATTACCCTGCAATATTTGCATAAATGATCACTTTTACCTATGTTACTTTTATTGACTATTTTCATCTCTAACATTTCAATTTTTTGTCAAAATATCCCATCTTAAAAAAAATTATTAATTATCCGTCAACGCATATCGTTAACATAATATTTTCACATGTGTTTAATTATTGATATAACACATGTCGTGTCATTACTTTTGTGATGTAATACGTGTCACATCATCACTGTGAATGACACGATATGTGTCACATCAACAAATAAGTATATGTGAAAATGTCGCGTGAGCAACATGTGTTGCCCTTAGTCAACTGACGTTTTTCTTTAAATATAGGATATTCATACTAACAATTGAAACGTTAAAAGTTAAAATCCTTTAAACATATGAACGTTGGGGTAATTTTATCATGTCAATTTTTCTTCCTTGATAACACTTGTTTGTCTGTGGCAGTTCGCCGGAGGATTCGACGTGGAAACGATGAAGGCTTTCCAAGAGCTGAGAGACAAAGCCAGAACGTGCCATGTTCAATACCAAAGCCAATAGGAATTAATATCTGATAGCAGACTCAGCTTCAGAATCCCAGTTTTCATTGTAAATAGAGAAAGAAAAAAAACCATGCATGTTTGTGAATACAATTGCCAGCTGCTATAATTGATCAACCGATTCAATTCATTCAAGTCCGTAACTGATGCGAAATGTCACGATTAAAAGACTGTTAAATCACTATAGCGCTATTGAATTTACTGCAAAACCTAACCGGCTTTAACATAATTGTGGAATAATAATGATGTTAGGTGTAGCCAACAACTTTTCTTTTCAAGGAAACTTTGAAAGATTTGGTGTACCAACAGATTTTTTAACCAAGTGTTAACACTAATGTTTTAGCATGTGAAATTGATTATAGACAGAAATCGGAATTTCTGGTGGGGGATCTTAAAGCTATAATTGAAACTTTAATTGAATCTAAACATAAATTCTTTTGGTTAAGGCTAGATGCTTACCGGGGTCAATCACTTGAGTTGGTTGGAGATTATATTAGAGATGAAAATGGGTCGGATTGAATCCGATTTTCGGTCAACTAAATTTGAGAAAAGACTCCCTCAATAAAAAATACTACCTGATCCAAGTTAGGAAAAGTTCCACACATCCCGAAATTCAATTTGCTTTTGAGAAAAAAATTCGCATCCGCCCGACACAAATATATATATATATATATATTATTTATAATATTTATTCAATAAAATAAAGATTTAATTGGAAAAAATAAAAAAAATATTATTATAATTATTATTAAATATATAAAAGATATTTACACTATTATCTCAAATCGGGTATTTTTATCTTAAGCACTACCGACTTGATCCTCTAAAAAAATTCAGTCTGAACCTAATTTAAAAAATTATATATATATATATATATATATATATATATAAATCATATCAAATTAAAACTCATCAGATCTAAGTTCTATGCTGATTCCTAGTTCCACCGGCTAATCTCCTGGACATGACCTGAATAATACATGGATTGGTCTTAAAACCAAACCCAAAGAAATATAGGTCGCCGATAAAGTCTGATAACATATGAATGGGCCTCACGTATACAGCTCTCTGGAAAAATAAAGAAGAGTAAACTACTAATATCATCACTAAACTTTCTTCTCACTTATATTTTGGTTATTCAATTTTAAAAGGTTTTAATTTAATAACAAAACTTTACACGTTGAATTTTTTGGTCACTCGTCAATTAATTTACTAACAAACTGATGACATTACATTTTTCCTTCTATAATAAGCTATTTGCTCTTGCCATTTTAGCTTTAATCTTAGAATTTGAGCTTTATACCAATGGATGACGTTGAAATCCCTCAATATTTCATCTATCTCATATCACTGTAAATCATGAAAGACATTGTTACAGCAGTTATAGGCTTTACTTACGAAAGAGAGAGCATAGCGAAATGGTTGAAGACGAACAAGTGCATCACTTGCCTGGTAGCGAAATAGGTTTTCCATCCAATTCGAATTTGACGTCAAACCACACGTTCAAGCGGTTGATTCAGGCTTGGTGTACGATGAATGCGGATAACAGTTTCGTCGATAAGGTTCCTACCCCAAAGTCTCCTCTTTGTAAGATTCGTCTTCTTGAACTCATTCATGAATTAGACGTTCCTGGTTTTGTATGTAAATTAATGCTTTGAACAAAATGGAAGTCCTAGCAGAGAACATTGAGAGGAACAAGAAGTTCATGGAGGAAGCTGGTTTTGTATATAAGGTTTTTTCTCTATCTTATTCATCATTTATTTCCACCTAATTTATTTTTAAATAAAAGAATTTAAAAATACCACACCGACACTTAACAAAAAATGAATGAAAATTTTAATGGAGAAACCGTCTTATTGATATGTGAAACTATAGGGATAAGTTTACTCATTTTTTCAGTAAAATGATTTAAAAAAAATCTGAAATATAATTTAGGGACTGTTATTGTACTTTTACCTATTTTCTCTGGTAGATATTTATCCGTTATCTTGCATATAAAAAATATAAATAATAATAAAATTATGATCAATTTTTTTCTAATGTTTGCACATATGATTAGAATAGTTGACTAGAATCTGGGTGATTATAATGTAGTATTTGTTAATAATCTTTCTTCAACATTGACACTACACACAGGGGCGGATGTACATCCGTTATTTTGATAAAAGTGTTAAATTTAGTTAAATTTGTTAATGAAAATAGAAAAAAGTAAAAAAATTGCATACCCAAATTTTTTAGAATATGAGCATTAAAATTTTAGACTCCCATTCTTTAATTTCTAGATCCGCCATTGACTACACACACTCTACATACACAATTGTTTGAATTCAGTACCTCTAGAAAAAACGACATTACCTTTAACTATTGAAATAACTTGATGATTCTAATTAAAAAAATTCTGGCTGGTGAAGGTTCGTTATGGGTGGCTTGGTTAAGGAGTTATATGCTCATCACTAACAACTTTTGGTCTGTTGCTGTTAAACCAGCCATGAGCTGGAGCTTAAAACAACTTCTAAAATTGAGGACTGAAGCGTCCTCTATTTTGTCCTCTCATACTCCGAATGTTAATACTCTCTGGAACGAGATTAGAGTTAAAAATCATAAAGTTAAATGGCACTCTTTACTTTGGTTCCCTCATCTCATTCCTAAGCATAGCCTCATTGTCTGGATGGTGCTTCTTGACCGTCTTTCTACGAAAGAAAGGCTTCATAAAATGGGGATTGTTAATGACATGAACTGTATTTTTTGTGCTGCTGCTGTGGAAACTAGAGACCATATTTTCTTTGAGTGCACTGTTGCTTCCTCCCTGTGGTCTACTTTATTTTCTCTTAATGGTTTACAGTTTAAACATCATTCTTGGAATGCTTTTTTTCAATTGGGCTGCTGCGTGTTGGAAGGGCAAATCCCTACTAACTACCATCATGAAAGTTGCATCTAATGCCTTGATTTACACTATATGGAAGGAAAGAAACAAGAGGTTGTTTCAAAGCCAATCTTCTACTGTTGCAGAAATGTTCATAGCTATTAAGGAACTGGTTGGTCTTCATCTAAGGGGAAGAAATATTAGAAGACTAGGCTATGTTAATATTAATCTTTGTAACCAATGGGGCATTGTTTGGTGGCTTAATTGCCTATCTATTTGTTGGATGCTTCTTGTAATTCTAACTCTATTGTTTTGTGCAGTTTACTGTCTTTGGGTAATAAAAATTTGAATTATCAAAAAAAATGAAATAATTTGATGAGTTCGTAAATTATATTGTTAACCTGTTGAAATGGATCTCAAATAAAATGTATATTAAGAATAGTATATATATATGTGTAACATCTACATATTTAAAGAATGCTTAAAAGTAAATGTAAATAAGTAATTTACCCTACTATATACGTATGATTATGCAGGAAATAATGCAAAATGAGATCCAATAACCTTGAACTGATTTAGTAGGAGAACTATTGCTTGTGTTAACACAAATGGAATTCTTAATTAGGAATCATTGAAGTTAAGACAATGTATCAAAATCAGATGCTCCAAGACAATTTTGACTATAAAAGTTATCATCCACACTTTTTGAACGTTCAACTTTTGACACCATAGCACTGGTCCCCTATGATGCGATGTGTTGGATTATCTCACTCTCCTTTCATCTTTCCAATTTTTTTCATACAACCAAGCAAAGTTTTAGATGATCTTATTTTTTTATTAATCAAATATAATAATTTTATATTCTAGTCATATTAATCGAATAAGATAATACAATATTTCAAATAATGTCTCAAATAATCTCACAATTCAATAATCTCATTCTTAAAGAGAATATTGCATTTATGAAACACTAAATTTAAGTCAATTCGGTTGAATTTAAATTCATATTTAATACTTAAGAAATAAATGCTAAAATTTAATCATGACATATATAAATGATAGTATTAAAATTATTTAAATTAGTAAAATGAGGGCATCTAGTGATAAATGTGTAAACATTAAAATTTATCTTTTATATCATTTTTTTACTACGGTCGAAGAGCAATAAACTATGATATTTATGTAAAAATAATTATACCTTATATTATTTATTTTAGACGGATTTTACTTTAAAAATTATAAGTAATATATCACGAATCATTTTCTCAAGGTTCAATAATTAACAATTAATATAATTTGATACATGCGCATTATTGAATTTAACTTTTTAAGTATTTTGTCCTATAAATGAATGATCACGTGATTAGTAGATATTTGAAATATATGACATTGTTTCTCTAGGGCAGAGGGAGACTTCTCTCAAACTCTCTTTTTGATTTACTATTCTCATAACTATATTTCTCTCTTAATCTGAACGCTCATAAGTGATATTCTACTCATATTAAAAAATGTATAATTCTTGTTATTTTTTCTGGTTCGATCTCTTATCATGGTATTATTTGTCTAGAAGTTCGGGCGATCTCTACAACATTGGATATTTATTTAGGGGCTGGTTTTTCGGTTTGTTTGGCTTGGTTGTGGAATCGCCTTCCTTGACTGCCTTAAACTTGATCCATAATTCTTCTTTAAGGCCTTGGTGTAGCTCTTCGATGGCAGTCTTATTGACAAAAGACGGAAGGGCGAGATATGGACTCTTCAAAGCTTGCCGGTGACATTTCTCTTTGTTGTAGCTCTTCGATGGCAGTTACACTGGCAAAATATGGAATGGCGAGAGATGGGTTCTTCAAAGCTTGGTGGTGACTTTTCACTTTGTTGTTACAGTTTATTGTAATCTTTTTAGACTCGTTCTTCTTCGTTTGATGTTGGTTAATTTCTCGAGAATTTTCTATCTTGAACCCATCTCTGATCATGTTATATTCTTTTCCTCTATTTAAGTCTAAAAAGATTTTTTTAAGGAGACACACAATCCAAATTATCATTAATAAATATCTTTTGCTAAGAAAAAAATAGTAAAAACAAATTTAATTTTTCATCTTAAACCATCGTATCATCAGTTATACATAAACAAAAATGATTTATACTAGGACGAATAGAATGGTCGAATAATTAAAGAAATGAGAGGAACGCCATTTGCTCAATTGTTGTGTGCTCAGATAACGCGATATAGTTGCTGCAAATCATTTGGTCGGAGATGCTTTATCATGTCC